TTCGTTAAAGCATTGTTATTGCCCCCGCCTGGGTTGAATGTCCTGAAACAGTGGAAATCCAAGTTCGCCCCAAGTATTGAATGTATTGCTGTAGCCCTTTTGTAAATAATAAATCCGTCGGATTCCATTGTCTCTACAAATCAGCAATTTCAACGATGTAGAAAGGATACTTTTCCCAAAACTTTCGCTGCCTTGGGTAAAGAATTCAAGGTAGTAATTAAGGTACAGCCAGCTGGAGACTGGTTAGAATAGCCCCTTAGACAATGTACATAATGTAAATATTATATTCTTATAGAATATAAATAGTCCCGGAACAGTCAGACAATGTTCTTATTGAATTAACAAGGTGGATGTTGTTCAAGTAGACCAAGTACAGACAAGTAATGTTTTAATAAATACTGAATTAGTGCTTAATAGTCCCAAGCTGTCCCATTATTCCATATAGTTCCAAAAGATGGAGCAATTGGTCCCGTGGTGAACGAATTCAAATAGAATTCAAATTAGAAGGTTTCTATGAAACTTGAATACATATTGTTTCTATGAAACAGTATCTCATTATTAGTCCAAAAGTCCCAGTTAGACCCGATAAGAATGGATGTCCCATAGGAAAATCCCATTGTCCCGAGATACCTGGAAACGAATGTTATTATATTTATCCCAATGTTACGAATAACCCAAGACCGATATCATAATCCCCATGGAAGTGTGTTGACCAAATCAATTCCCCATGTAGATGAGAAGATGTGTCCCGTGTCCCTTATTTGTGAGAATCTGAAAATTTGGCTTATGTACCGATGGTGTGACCCTGTCCGGTTATTGGTTTACTTTCTGGCGTATTGCTACTACACGATAGGATGTCTGTGTAGCAATGTTTCAGGGATGCAGAACAGAAGATGTCAACTTAACTAGATGCAGGCTGATGATTCACCACTACAATTTACAGACCTGTCAACCTCTCATATATTTTTCCGGGAATCTGTTGAACATTAAAGAACTATTGAAAACACGTAGCCATAATCATACAATGTATAAACAGAGATGGGAGAGACTAGAACTGCAGTGAATAAACTTTTGAACTTTGATATTGCAGATCCAGAGAAGAATGCAGCGATATATAGACTAATAAAATAATGACAGTGTAAAATTTCTATAATTTTAGGTGCTGACATTACATGTTTATCAAATTATGGACTTCTATTTTTTATTTTTAAAGCATGTTCGGGTCGAACACTTATTAAAGAGGGAAGCTGTGTAACAACCCACCAAATTCATATACACTTATAGCATAATTTCTCTTATTATTTGGTGTGCTGTTACTGTATTTATCTCTATATTTAATCAGATTTTAACTTTAATCGTTTATAAGTTGTACGTTTATATGCATTCAGCTGATATTCACTCTCAAGAAGAATGCCAATCTCCAAATACATACTTTTCAGTGATGGCGTATTAATATTTAACTGCAAATAGTGCAGAATATAGTCCCAAGACTTGATCCAGTAATTAGCATTAATTATAAGCAATTTACTTTAATCACAGCTTCTTAAACATGTTTATTTAATATGTTCATCATATTTTGATTTCAGTATTACGTATGAAATACTTTTGTTTGTTAAGTTAGTATTCGGCGTAAGGTTTTCCTCAGTACGTTGAGAAGTTTGGTTTGTGTTCTGTTTAGATTTTAACTGTAAGGATGCTAATGGATATATCTCCTACGTTTCGATCGATTTTGCAGTATTCCGACTCTATTGGTGTTAGGTAAATATATATTTGTATTAATCAAATGATGATCAACAAATTGATATATGTTTTATGACATTCTGTTATGAGATTTGACATGAAAGTTACCTTGAAATGTATATAATGCTCCGGCCCAAAAGTTGCCCAGGATCCCCTTTACATCTACTCTAGTCCCAGGACCATGTATCCTATTAGAGAGATGTATTTCCCCTTCCCAAAGTACCCCACAGTCCAGCTTTCCCAGTCTCTGGAAATTCCGGCAGTCATATTGCAAATTTCCGGGCAAATTTCCAACCATGTAGCTCGTTAGTCACGTGCTAGTCACTTGATAGTCACTTGTTAGTCACTTTCTAGTCACTTGCTAGTCACTTGTTAGCTCGTGTTAGTCACTTGTTATAATTCGTGCTAGTCATTGTTAGTCCATGTTAGTCACTTTATATACAGAAACTTCTCCCAAAACACAGTTTGATTATTCATAACTAATTTTTACTGTACTGTTGTCATTGTTATCTTAAATATCTTAAAAATATACACACCTGTAAATATGTTTCTTTATTTAAAACTTTTGTCGTGTTATATTTCTTAAGTTGATATTATCCCCCCCCCCCCCCTTCATGAGACAATTCCAAGTATAATCAAGATGTAGAGATTTTTGCCAGAGCGCCATCTTTCTTTCGACATAAAAGTTTATTTCCTATAAGACTCATTGTAAAGACAGATGTTTTACACCCCCCATAATTAATTAGATAGAATATAAAATTCATAATTTAATCCATAACATCTCCCTCTCTTTTAACCATGCTACCACAGTATATTTTGAGGGGATGTTACACTTTCTGTGTTAATTTCATGGAGAAATGATATATTTTATATAGTTTTCTAGATAGTTTTTAATACAGGGACCCTGCCACCCGGAACGGTATTCGCACATGGCAACTTTCAGCCTTAAATGTTACCGCCATTTCACTTGTTTCGCAAGTCTTGACCACTTTATTTCTTTGAATTTTGAATGTTAAACCATGTTAGTTTACTTCCTTTGTTACTAGGCAACCAATTAATTGTGTTTTAATTATAATGACACAAATGACAATGGCCGTACATATCAAATTCTAAGAAAATGCCATCAGACAAGCAACCCTCATTCTGGAATCATTTTTGCTGCAAGATGGCTGCTGAAATGCAGAACACAAAAGAAATCAAAGTGGAACAAAGAATACTACAAGATATTTTCAGTATTATTGACCTTGAGCAGCTACCATATGCACGACACAGTCTATCTATGGCTCCGTGTGATTTTCTTCCTTTTCTCCAAGTTGAAAGGAGGGTTGAAAGAAAATGTTTTTTACTCATTGAATGAGGTTTAGAGTAGCACACCAGCAGCATTTGTATCACATAAGCAATGGCGGTCTCATAAATGCCTTCCATTCATTGGTAAAGTGGGATGAAAACGTGTTCAAATTCGTCGAAAATATGTTGAAAAGTAGGTCTTGATATGTGAATATGATGATGGCAGATGACACTCAGATTGAAAATTCTCTCATATCATGACTGGTGTTAGGTTGTGCACCTGCACCTAGATTGAAAATTGAAAATTCTCTCATATCATGGCTGGTGTTAGGTTGTGCACCTGCACCTAAAGTATTTGCCATATTATAACAGTTGTGACGTGATTTGCTGTATTTAAATACCGTTCCGGGTGGCAGGGACCCGGTATTAAAAGATATTTAGAAAAGTAGCTAAAATATATTATTTTCTGTTGAAACTTATACATAAAGTTGTTAAGATGTTATCTTTATTATCTGAAAGTTTCATGTAATAATATTAAAAGATAGCAAAGTTAGAGCGGGGCGTCCAAGACTTTTGGATCACCCCTCGTATGTGAATGATTATTAGTTGCTGTATTCATAGGCCGGTGAACATGTATAATGTAATGCTTAATCGAAGTTCACACCTGACTGTCCTTTAGATAGTACATGTAGCACAATAACATATTGGGACTATTGGTTTATGTAGCACAATCACATACAGTATTCGGTATACTAGTATATGCAGCACAAGCACACAAAGGTATATGTAGCACAATCACTCCTAGAATATATGGTCTGGAAGAGATCACATAACTGTATACATGGCACAATCACATACCAGTACAATAACACACCTATAGACAAACAGAGACATAAAACAGAGTTACACACTGATGATGTAGTATAATTACATATCTGTCACATGTACCACAATCACACCTGTGTGCATGTAGCACAGTCACACACAATAACATGTAGCAAAATCACACACGTGTACATGTAGCACAATCACACATACATGCAGCACAATCACACACATTTACATGTGGCACAATCACACATACTTACATAAAGCACAATCATACACATGTACATGTAGCACAATCACACACATGTACATGTAGCACAATCACACACATGGACATGTAGCACAATCACACACATGGACATGTAGTTAAATTTCACACTCGTAAATGAGGCTCAATCTCCCTCACTGATATTTTCATTCAGATGATTGTTTAATGTTTTACTCATATCATGAACATAAACATGATAAAAAACAGGAGTTCTAACTTTTTAAAATGAGACCTGAAATTAATCGGCAATCTGAATAAACACTTTCTTTGAACCATGGCAACCTTGTGGTTTGATCTGGTCGAAAACTTGCTTCCTGGTTTACTGTACTGACTTGATTTTTACTTGATATTTGATTGGACATTTTAACAAATAGGTATGAGTGACGATAATACTCTCAGTACAGGATTTACTATTATGGTTGATTTCCCTGAAGGACCTATGGCACTTAGTCATCGGGTCAATTATTTTCATCAGTTTCGTGGCATTGATTTGAGGTGTTTTAATTCAATTAACCTGAGAAATAGTGCAGTATTCTGTTTGGCCAATCAATTTGTTCTTGGAGTATTTCGAGCAAAACTATCATCATTGAATTTTTATAAAAAATGTTTAAACCTAGAATCTGGTGGAAAGAATAGGCTAACCCATTGACTCATCAGTTGATTCATTTAAAAAACATTTCATTAGTTTTGGTGGTAGCCTTGAATTATTTGATGCACAATTGTCAAAATAAAGCTAAAAATAAAATCATCTCTTGTTATAATTTCATGTTTACTAGTCATTATTTTCAAGTAAAATAACTTGATCAATTACTTTTAATAATGCACCTTTTGGAAAACCTTGCATGCATCATTAGATTCAGTTTAATGGAGACAAATCTAAATGGTTTTATTGTGCTGTTTATTTTGATTCACATTCAGCAACGTACATTGTCTTTTATAGCATTATCATATCATGTGGCAATATATCTTGTATCAATAACACTGTTTTGGTACACCTTTAACATGCGTACACAATATACTGATATACACACACATTTTAGCAACCTAAACAAACTGGCCTTATATTATATATTTATGAATGTAGAATCAGTGCCACTCAGTGAGCATAAAAAAACTCATTGTATCAATTGATGATCCTCTCATGATTATTTGTCATTATGTGCAGAGATTAAAGCCATGTATTTTGGCACTACTTAAAATACTGGTAGTAATCAATGTTTACCATTGCTCTGCTCTTGGTGAAGAAAGAGACAATCTGGAGCATAGTTTACCAATGTATACTCCTCTTTGGTTTGCCTTTAAACCACTGCCATCTTTTTACTTTCCTAACACATTAGTGACATTATGCCTAATTGGAAAGACCTTATGAGCTGCAAACCCTCTAGAGAAACCAATGGGGTTTTCTAGAGAAAGCATAAGGTGAAGACTATGATTCAGTTTTATTGAAATCAATTTCTTCCACTGTCTTTTCAACAGTGTCAACATTTTTTGTATGATTGTCACCAGTGTCTGAGTCTTTTACTTCACTTTCACTCTGTTTATCGTTATTATCTACACTATTGATTTTACCATCTTCGTCTTCAATGTTCCCTGTATCTGCCACATCACTATTGATGTTATCATTATCCCCTGTGTCTTTTTCCTCAATGTTTTCTGTATCTGTAGCATCATTTGTTTCATCATTGTCATTCTTTTGACTCACTGAACTGGAATTATCATCTTGTTGTTCTTGCAATAAAGCTTCCTTTTGTTTTAAAATTTGTTCTTCAAGTTCTTGTTGCTTATTTTCTCTTTCCTCCTTTTCTCTTTCCTCTTTTTCTTTTTTCTTTTTGTCCTTTTCAATCCGCCTTTTTTCAAGCTTAGCTTGATGCTCCTGCTCTGCTTTTTGTTTTATGACTAGTTCTTCATTGTGAAGTCTTTCTACTTCATTGGCTATAAACTCCAGAGGATCCACAGGTGAGTGCTCAACAATACCAGCTGTTAAGCTCTGGAAAACAAAGCATCACATCATCAATGGTAAGTTAATTGATTACTGTAATGACCAAGAGGCATCTCCAGGAAATGGTCAACTGCTGGGTATTGTGTGTAATGAGCCAGATACAGACATGAAAGAAAATGTGCTTAATTCAATGCTCCGTGTAGGAATTGAACCTAAAACCTTAAGATTCAAAATCAAGTACAACTGTCCTATAGTAGTAATTTGCAAGGGTTATTACATTACTTTATCTCTAAGAATTGAAAACTTGGAATTCTATGTATTTCTCCTCATAGAAACGGCAACATATTTAAACATTGAGGGATACTAAAATATTTTTTCCATTATTAATAATTGTCAAAGAACCATTTTATGAACTGGAATAAAAAAAACAACTGGAATATGACCACTTTATTGTGTATCTCTACTGGTTCACTGTTAAATGGCTGTGTCCCATTGAACCTATTGTATATACATCAAAGCAAACAGATTTGTAAATAACAAATCCCTGTTTACTTTGATGGATATACAAATCAGGCCCGTAGCCAGGATTTACCAGGGGGGGGCGATTTTACCAAGGGGGGAGTTTTTGCCAAGGGGGAGGAGCTTTTTGACAGTTTTGGCAAAAAATCATGTAAAAGTGTTTAGAATGGTGAAAAACTGTGATTTTGAAAGAATTTCTGGCCAGGGGGGGGGGCAGCCACTCCCTCCACTCCCCCCTGGCTACGGGCCTGCAAATCTAGTGAACATGGTGAAGATGTGATGTCAGGTAAAATGCTTAATATTGTTTCTGTGTGCATGGTTTGAATAATTATTAATTATTTTATTTTACAACAATTATCCACCATTTTAACATTTGATACTTGTGCAAACATAATTTTCTTTACATAATTGTCTAGTACTTTGGGATAGTGTAGATAAAGCTCTTTAAATGAAGCAAAATCAAACTACTGTAAATTGCTTTAATTTGGCGCTATTTAATTTGGCTGATTGGACTTATTTTAAATGTTGGCTGCTATTTAATTTGGAGGACTGACCCATCTGTAGAATATGGATATTAGATGGCCAGCTAGGAAGTCACTTGGCCAGGTTACTCTAGTGTGACACAGTGCTTTACCTTCATATATGAGCTAATTTTAAAAATGTAATAAAAATGGAGTTATAATCAAAACTTTGAAAGAATACTCAATGAGGGTCAGGGTCTTAAGATTATTTTCCAAAAATTGCTGGAGACTTAATTTGGCGGTCTTTATCAATCCGCCAAATTTATTAAAATGGTCTTCAAATTAAAGCAATTTACAGTATTGGAAAGATACATTTAAATGTACCTGCCAAATCAAGTCATTATCTCTAGTTATTTTATGGATGCACGATGTGACATTAAAAGTAATTGAGAGGGGTGTCAAATTACATGGAGAAATGAGTTGCCATTCTCATTATTTAGTATTTCCAGTTTTTTTTTATCAATATACCATGAAGAGTACAGGGTATGTAATGTAACTATAAAACTAATGTTGCAAGGAAGATTACAAGACAAGTGTTTGAGCAAAACTCAAATTAACTTACGACAGATGAACTTTGATAAATGTTAGCAAAGGATATATCTAGAAGGGGAGACATGTGTTGCAATTTCGTGAAACCAATAGGCAATATGAAATATCACTTTTAAGAGAAGTTACCATGGTTGCTAAGTATTAGCTTCCCTGACAACCATGTACTTTTCTAGCTATAAAATAAGTTTCGCAATCTAATTTCCAACTCTTACCTGGAATAATGGTAGAATATTGTGTTTCTCAAGGTATTTCACTGCCCTACTGTATGGATCTTCAATAGGTTGTACATAATTGTGTCCATTTGGAGGAGGGTTAAAATCTCCAGGATCTGACCTATGGTCTGGGCCTGGCACTTCAGGAGGTAAATCCATAGCTCTGTCGAGTTGTTTCTTTATCAAATCAAATTTTTGTGATTCTGTAAGACCAGATGCATCCGTAATAATGTTTTGATTAGTTATGTAAGTCTCAGTTGTGTTATTATCATTGAAAACCTCTTCATTTTTAGAGGCATCCATTTTTCAAGAAATATAGTAGCTGTGAATGTTGAGCAGCGTGACCTTGAGAAAAATAATGGGAATATTTCACATTTTAGTTTTGATTCAAGAACAAATGAAAGATTTTTTCAAAAATCGAATGGAATAAAACAGTTCTAGTTTTACATCGTTGTACATCGAATATATATATACATATATTTGAATATGATTGATAAAATCTTAAAATTGTCAAGGTCGGAAAGTTGTACACTAGACTAAAGGCTTACCAAATTGAAAATTTCTAAAATTTCAAAATTGACGTTTCTTTTGGGATTTCTATCTGTTGCAAGACACATTTGGGTGCGAAATGCCCCTGTTCGAAGGAGTAGCCTATGGTGGTGAAAAATCCGCTGTGATTGTTGATATTGGTGGAGCCTACACGAAGTAAGTATCACATTTGAAAATATTATTTTTCCAAAATAATTTTTCATTTTGCTGTTAGTCTACCTGTGTTAGGCTAAGACTCAGTTATCATTGTAATTACATGGATCTTGCACATACTGTTATTATTAGTCCAGGATGAATACTTATGAAGTCGGTTTTACCTTTTAGTCCATTGATCAGTCACAGTATATGTCTAGATTGGTACTACTTTTTTCAAGGCCTGACTGCGTCGCTAACATGCTAAATATAAGAGTTAGCTGACGTTTGGGAGTCTGACTTACCTTCTAAAGGTTAGAACCCGAATCTTAATGAAACCATATCACCTTTGTTCCGTCAACCATGGAGCATTTGCCACAACATCCAAGAGGTAAATCATGGATCGAGAAAATGAATGATTTCCTTGTAAGTTCCGGAAGTTTCAATACAAAAAATTACCGAACATATGTGAAAACCGAATATTTGTTCGTTGTTTTTCAATGTTTTGGTCTAAATTATAAAGCATCACCAACAGGTCTTACTCTATTAATCGACTAATACAGCAGAGGGCTCATATTTCTACGTAGCATTTCATTCAGACCAATAGTGGGAGTGTAGATCACGCAGTTTCGTTCGTTGCGTACTTCACTTGAAATTGATAATTTTAAATATTGACTACTTCACTTAGCTTGGCGGATGTAGAACATTGCTTAATATTCTTTTAATTTTCACACCAGACATGCTTGGTTGACACGTCAACAAAGTAAAGTTCAAGGGTCAATGCGTTATTTCGTGATAACTACAACGCCTTCCCGGAAGTCAACATTGATGAAAAATGAAAAAGTCGGAAAAGCATTTACGCTAATTTCTATCAAATGCTATGTTTATGCATCATCATCGACGCAACAAAGGTGATATGGTTTCATTAAGATTCGGGTTCTAACCTTTAGAAGGTAAGTCAGACTCCCAAACGTCAGCTAACTCTTATATTTAGCATGTTAGCGACGCAGTCAGGCCTTGAAAAAAGTAGTATGTTTGTTTGTTTGTTTGGTATAAAATGCACTTCCTTTCTTCTTCCTGGAACGAATTAGCCAAATAAATGACTCTCAATTTGTTATTTTTAGAATTGAGATTTGAAATCAAATGGATCACCCTACAACATGTTATTGGGATTTTTAGAAAAATAATTTACATGCAGTCTAATAATTAAGGTCATGGTGCATGTTCGCTGCAACCCTCAATAGGGTCACATGTTATTTTTCAAATTTGAATCACTCCTTCCCCACAATGTCTACATCTCTCACTTTTGCACAATGACTGCGCTAAATGTACCTAGAAAAGAATGTAGAGAAGAATGTTTCATTATACAAAACAAATCTTCTCTTCAGTCTTTTTTAGGCACATACATGTAAGTGCACTCTTTGTGCAAAACTGGAAGATGTAGACAATGTGTGGAAGGAGTGATTCCTGTTTGAAAAATAACATGTGAAATGGTTTGAAAATTATGATTACATTTTGGTCCATAGATAAATGAATCATGGATTTGTTGAAGTAGGATTTCCCATGTTAAGGTCTTGGTAGCCTTGCCCAAGTTGGTCTCTTTTACTTATCTTGATTTCTATTATGACCACCTTGTACCCAAGAGAAAGCCACGTGCTTTACCGACCCAATGTTTATATTGGTAAAATTTGACCAATCAATGACAGCCCTGACGCGTTAGCTCATTATTATGCATGGTCAAAAACAAGTACACTTTTCACCGGGGCTTTTCACGAACAAATCTTGCATGAATTCATCATGGAAATACAAATATTTTATCAGATAAATATCAATCAGAGTTTAGTGGATGCTGGAGCAGCGATCGGATACCCGGAGGTGAGACTATTTCAACAAGAAACGTTGAAACGAAAGCTGAATTCAAGTGATCGAACATATAGGCTGAGATTCAATCACTGAATCAGATCGACGACTACATGGCCGGACTATATCTTAGTGCATTTTCAACGCTTATTCAGTTTTAAAATCAACATTGAATTGAACATTGATTAATTTATATTAATGACTCCTTTCATTCCAATTTACATAATATATTGTAACTCTAAAGAAACACTTGATCAGATCATTGAATTTCAAGTCATAGACGGGTAGTTCGCTTTGTTTATGCAGGTCAACCTGATAACGTTTTAATTGGTCAATCAGCCTGAAGTCACATGTCCTGTTCACGCGATCTTGTCAATCAATAAGGTTTGGCGATACCCCTGACAGCGTAGGAATTATGGAAATCTCGAACCCGCTGAATAACTTAGCATAATATCAGCGGAGATGTATTGGATTGTACAAGGCGGTAATAATTCAAGATCAGATAAGTAAAAAAAATACTGACTTGGGCAAGGCTAAGGTCTCGGTAGTTATCAGAAATTTACACCAAACAGGAAATGAAAAAGCCATGTGGATTTTAGAATTTTTTTGTACTAAGGTAACAGAGTTCTGCTTTAACCAGTTTTCAATCAGTTTACTGTCATGGTCAAAATTACCCCTACCATGCTGAAATAGCTTTTTCAGCCCTCTGAAATTGTGACAGTAAAAAGTTAGCATTTCCGAAAGGTCATGTAACAGATTATTTTGTATTTTTCAGAAAATGTGCCCAATATATTGTTTTAGATGACAGGAGCTCTGAAAATTAGAAAAATTGTCTGAAACAAAAATTGTGGTCATAAAAAGGAAAAAAGATTTTTAAATCAGTTTTTCTCTATTTCTAGAAATGGATTCAAATTTTCAAAGACCTTAAAAATAAGAAAGTTTTCAAAAAAGTAGATGCGGGTGTACAAAATGAAAAATATACAAATTTTAGGAGATATATATCTAGACAATATTGGAAACTATGAGCTTTTAAACCACCATGGTTTGGAAATGGTGATAGAAAATCGACGACTCATTTATTTATTGTCCAAACTGAACACTTGTTCAGCAAAAACGATTGACATATTCTCATCATTAATCTTCAAATTCAGTTCTTAGTATGGTGTCAATTTTACATACAATTTTAGCACAGATTTTTTAGGGAAGATGGAACTCTTTAAGACTTGAAGCTATCATTTTCTCACATTTATAGGAGTTATTTGCAACTGTTTACAATGTTCATTGCATTGTATATATGTCACATTGTCTGTTATACCTGTTGCATATATGTCACATTGTCTGCTTCACCTGTTTATTACATCGCATATATGTCACATTGTCTGCTTCACCTGTTTATTACATCACATATATGTCACATTGTCTGCTTCACCTGTTCATTGCATTGCATATATGTCACATTGCCTGCTTCACCTGTTTATTACATCGCATATATGTCACATTGTCTGCTTCACCTGTTTATTACATCGCATATATGTCACATTGTCTGCTTCACCTGTTTATTACATCGCATATATGTCACATTGTCTGCTTCACCTGTTCATTGCATTGCATATATGTGACATTGTCTGTTATACCTGTTTATTACATTGCATATATGTCACATTGTCTGCTTCACCTGTTCATTGCATTGCATATATGTGACATTGTCTGTTATACCTGTTTATTACATTGCATATATGTCACATTGTCTGCTTCACCCGTTCATTACATTGCATATATGTCAAATTGTCTGCTATACCTGTTCATTACATTGCATATATGTCACATTGTCTGCTTCACCTGTTCATTACACTGCATATATGTCACATTGTTTGCTCCACCTGTTCATTACATTGCATATATGTCACATTGTCTACTTCACCTGTTCATTACACTGCATATATGTCACATTGTCTGTTATACCTGTTCATTACATTGCATATATGTCACATTGTCTACTTCACCTGTTCATTACACTGCATATATGTCACATTGTCTGTTATACCTGTTCATTACATTGCATATATGTCACATTGTCTACTTCACCTGTTCATTACACTGCATATATGTCACATTGTCTGTTATACCTGTTTATTACATTGCATATATGTCACATTGTCTGCTTCACCTGTTCATTGCATTGCATATATGTCACATTGTCTGTTATACCTGTTTATTACATTGCATATATGTCACATTGTCTGCTTAACCTGTTCACTGCATATACATGTATGTCACATTATTTGTTGCAGGTGTGGATTTGGAGGCGAACCAGCTCCAAGGTGTATCATTCCCAGTGATGTAATCAAACAATCAGGAGAGGTAAGATACATTACATATCTATGATGTAGATTATAGACAATGATGTGCTTGTATCACACTATGGTAACACCCAGGCATCCATATGTTCATTGGTTTGAAGTTATTCCATCCATCGTCATTTAATGTTCTCATCCATCCATCAACATTATTGGTAACTGAAACTGCAATTCAAATTATAGACTATTATGTCAAATGCCCATTCATTTTATTCTATGTTAACTATTCAATTTGTAAGTGTTATTGCCATATCTTATGTTCTCCTGGTTTTTTTTTTATTAATAGGGAATGTTGATGTCAAATAGGCACATCTGGGGCTTTGGACCCATTTCACTCTGAATTTTAACCCAGTAACTCTTAGTGATGAAGTGTTTGAATTATGAATCATTGACATTTTTTCAGCCTGAATATATCCTCTGTAAGGAATATCTAATACATGTACATCATGATTATCCACTTATGTATACTCAAAATGAGATGATAAATGGATTCAGGGGCAATCAAATTTTTAATTCCTCAGTCGGTGTAATTTGGGATAACACTTATGGACCAAAAAGGACGATTCTCGGTTTGGAGAACAGTCTCCTTGGCTAATAATTTTTTTCATGAAAAATATAGAAATATTACCCAAATTAAACTATTTTCAAAAGAGGACATTTAAATCTACAAGATGTAAAAATAACAAATTGGTCTGAAGCAGGGGTAACGCTCAATTAGACTGATTCAATAAAATACAAGTCTCGATTTGGGGAAAGTTCATCAGTGTACTGCGCTAATATTTTTTTTTGCAAAAAATCTAGAAATATTACCCAAATTAAATTATAACTATTCAAAAGAAGACATTCAAATCTATATTATGTAAAAAAAATCAAATTTGTCCGCAGCAGGGATAATGCTCATTTAGATTGATGAACTTCGTTCTCCAAACCGAGAATCGTCCTTTGAACGTGTATTCCAGTTACAGTTAATGTTATTATTCTAAAATTATTCATAGTCAAAGTGCATACACAGGCTTGGACTCTAAGGGGTAAATTACCATGTTGTGTGCCAATATTGCTATCTTTTGTTTTGTATGTTTCAGACTAGGAAGGTGACTGTATTCAAAAATGAGGCAGAATTATATGACAACCTTGTTGATTTCCTACACAGACTCTACTTCAGGTAAGAACAACCCAGAACATTTCTGTTGAAGGCGCTGTTTTATTTACAACTTAAAATGAGATACACCTGGAGAGATATAAGACATGAACGGCATTGAAAATTGGTACAAGTAAAGCATGGAGTTTATTCCAAAACTGTAAAAATGCATATTTGTTTGAACAAGTACTTGGTTGGCTTTTAGATGGACGTGCAGAATAAATGGAATTCAACCCCTTGTGTCTCACTGTAAATGCTGAAATTTTGCCTTTCACTTAAATTTTGAAAATAGAAATACAGGATGGTCAAAAAACTGGAAACCCTTACAACATTTTCCTCTATATTTTACACAATTGTACGTAATTCAATTTCCTACCAGCCTACTTTATTTCATGACCATCAGATTGATAGTCATAATGTTTCTGCACTTTAACTCATTTGCTACTAAGGACGTGATATGACGTCATAAAGCACATACGTTGACTACTAAGGACGTGATATCAAGTCCAAGTACAAACCCAATGTATTTTTGGGGGAATCTTGTAACCATGACAACTTATAAAATGGGCCCTAAAAAACTATTCATTCTGAACGAGTATGTCATATGCTTTAAAATGATATATAACACTGTATTACATACCTAGCGAAGCATTTGTATGGAAGCCAATGGGAAAGTTAGCGAGCTATATCCACCGATATTGCCCGATTACCCCGATATAGCCCGCTTACCTCGTTTTGATATTAGATTTCTTTAATAACCATGATAATATCATGACGTCACGTCATTGATACAAAGTAACCATGGGAACAAAGGCATGTAATACATCAGTTATGTCACTATGACGTGAAATATGCCTTCGTTCTTGCCCAAATATAGAGCCTCCCAAGGTCGGCCTATATTGGGAGAACTCAGGCATATTTCACGTCATAGTGACATAACCTCTAAATATATGTATGCCCATGTATATACAATATATATTATTTCAGAGGTACCATATATGGCAATTTTCAAAATATCGTCAGTATTATAGTGCTTTTTGCCCCAAACCTGAAGCCAAACCTGAAGCGTGATGTTCAAAGTGCTGTAAAATTGTGACTATCAGTCTGATGGTCATGAAATATGGTAGGGTAGTAGGAAATTGGATGCTGTACAAATGTGTGAAGTATCAGGGAGTAATGAAATAGTACACACATTTTCACTTATAAGATGCATTTCCACAATAAAGAACCATGAAACTGAAAGATTAACTTTTTTGTTTGATCTATTTATAGACATCTGTTGGTGAACCCAAAAGACAGGAGAGTTGTAGTGGTAGAGTCTGTTCTATGTCCTAGTGTGTTTAGAAACACTTTAGCTAAAGTTCTCTTTAAACATTATGAAGTAAGTAAACAAGGAGTATGGTATCATGAAATTGATGTATCAATAAAATATATTGAAATTTTCAAAATTAAGGAGTCAATGCATCTGTACAAATTATGGCAGCACAAGAGGCAGCTGATGTGAAAATATTAAAAGCTCCAGCTACATTTTATACGCCACACAGCTTTTTGTTAAAAAACTAAAATTTATATTTCTCCAATAATATTTTTAGACCTTTAATCCTTCAAAGTTGGTCAAGGTGATGGATTTTCAACATGTTTAAATGATTCATAATATAAATGTGTAAATGTGATTGTTATTCAAAAGGTTCAAGACTCATTTTACCTGTTCATCTATTCTTGAATGAATGTTTACGATTAACATGATGTTTTGTTTTTGAATTCTAGGTGCCATCAGTTTTGTTTGCCCCATCACATCTCATGGCCCTGTTCACCTTAGGAATCTCATCTGGTCTTGTCCTTGATGCTGGACTCACTGAAACACTTGTGTTACCTGTATCCTTTACTGTTATGCATCTTGGGGTGTTAGTTAGGGATCCCATTAATACTTGATGCACTTGTGTAATCTCACGAAATCACTTTCCATTTAAAACATCAATATTAAACCTTTATTTTTAGACATACATGTATTTAAAACATCACTATTGTACCTTTATTTTTAGACATATTTTACGATAGAAAAAGTATCCAGAGAGGTTCAAAGTGAATGGACGAATTCATTTGTCCATTCACTTGCCACACTCAGAGATAAAATTTGTTGCAATTTAGGTCATATAACTATTTTAAATACTGGTACATTGAAAGGTACATATTGTATCACTCACTTTCCAATTCTCTTTCTTATGTGAGGGATATACAGAATCAACAGTTGTCTTTAACACTATTCAGATCTATGAAAGTATCCCAATACTAAAGGCATGGCAGGCCGTTCCTTTAGCAGGCAATGCCATTCACAGGTAAGGAATCGTCATTGAATACTCCATAATTGTTTGTTACTCCCCTATAGAAAAGTTCTGTAATCCTCCGATTCTGAAAATTCTTTTTGTAATATAAAACTGGAGCTTTTCAGATTTACAAACTAATAGATTGCATGGAGTGGTCACTTACAACCTGATTTGTCATAAAATTCAACAAAGATGTTCCACTTATACAACACTTCTTACTGTAATTCAATAAATAAATAAGTATTGAAAATTTGATTTTAACTCAACTAATGAAAAATGAATCTAATTGGATGTCCAAAAATTAAATCTTATCAGTTAGGACAGCAAAATGAATGTTCCCAAATGCACGCAACCACACCTATGAAGCACATTCCTATGAAATGAATATACGTACAGTGATCCCATTCATTCTTTCAGTCGCTTAGAGTCACAGTTGCTAGAGACTGGAATCATTACCACTGATGAATCAGAGAAGCGCCCTCTATCTTCCGCACTGGGTAAGTTAGATGATACAATACATAATTTATGTAGTATAACATAGGAGTTGTCTGACAAAACCTTTTATATTGTACATTGTACACTGGAGTGAAGATGAGAGTATTTTATTTTATTTGATGAATTGTTATATTTTGGTTACTTTTTATCTTAATGTATTTTTATTATTACTCTAAATGTACATTTTGATATCTAAAAGAATCTTTTGATATTCATTCTAAAGATTTTTTGGAATTTTGCAACAAAGAATCCTAAGTTTGATGTATATATAGCATGGCTTTATGTATGTTATTTTGTCTGAAAATGACATTATATAAGACCATGTTATTGGAAGTAGTCTTGTGTCACACCTTCCCCCTCTCTCCATAATCTCAAACAGATATCAGGTGGAGGGGAGAGGCTAGATGCCAGGGAGTAGATTGTGTCTCACCTCAGACTTACAGTCAAGTCTATGGTCTCACATTCATTTCTTATCACCAGTTTATTATCATTTTGGTCATAATACATATTTTTGTTTTAGATTTAATGTTTTTGACCAGTTGTTGCATGAATATATTTTGAATTTAAGATATAATTGACTGATTGTTTCTCAGTGACTTATAAACCTTAAAAAACAAATGGAATAAAAGTCTCATTTTTATACATTTAGAGCGATGGAGTACACATGTATCTCCAGAGAGAGTTTAGTTCTTCCAGATGCCTAGTTTTGCTGTTAAATCAAGTCCTGACTTGTGATCCTATATTTTCTTCAAAATAAATATTGTTGAATTTTAAAGATGGCAGTCCTTGTGTAGCTAGCTGTGAAGATAAATCAGGCAGGAATCAGAAGTTAATTTGAGATGTCTTCAAATTGTATACAGTTGAAGACAAATATGACCCAGGGCTTTCTCTTGAAAGCTCATGATATTACTTAAATAAATAGATTTGCTATTGTGCTGTAGGATGGTGAAGTCGTGATTGATATAATTCTCAGGACTTTTAACAGGTCAAAATAACCTTATATTTTAGTACTTTGGAATAAATAGAGATTATCCTCTATGATTATCCAGAATCAAATAACAATAAATTTGCATCAGAGCCTCGAATTAACACATCCAACTAGAGGATGACGTTACTTATTTTGCCAATAACTATTTCTGAAGCTAGCTTTTATCACTGTTGTATATGGAAATTGGTCATAAGTCTTTTTTATGTCAATGAAAGTCACTATGACACAGGACAACTGATTAATGTGTCATTTATTGCATCCACTATTGTGTCAATTGTGCCCATTGTGTTCACTATGTTCTTGATGTTCATTAGTTTTTCACCATTATTTTTTTATTCAATGAATAGGGTTGATTTATAATGGTCACTGATTAATAATGATTTATAATGGCCATACCATCTCTGAAATATAAAATAATTTAGAATCAAGTATTTTATCATACAAGTTCACTAAAATATACCTCTTGAGCATTCTCAGTACAAAATTGTACCAGAATGTATGTCTCATCTCTTCAAAATCATTCCTCATATTTTTTTAGAATTTAAAAAAAAAATCTACAGTATTTGTGCATTTCAAATATAACTAGAATAATTTGGAATTGGTTACACCAGATTTTTGCAATTGATGTAAACCTGATTGTACATTGTTTGGAAATATATTTCCCTTTTCAGTGAACTCATATGAATGGTAAACATATATTTTTCCCTTTCCTCTAAAGTTGACTACCCATATATGGCCTTTATATTTGATTTTTACAAAAATCACAGTTCAAACTTCTTTTAAACTAGAAAACCCAGATAATAAGCTATTCTTGGAGAATTCCCCCTCGTTACATAGTACTTGCATGACATCATCTATATCTGTTTAGAGCATCCCATGTGAATAATTATTTTTGCCAAATTTAATTTTTCTCCATTCGCAGATATCAACCTCTGTCCTTCGTGCTATTCATATTCCCAGTAGAAATTGAAAGATGAGTAAGCGATCCTATAGGCTCACCATGAAGCCTAAAATGACATGAATCAAAATCCTACGAAGATAACCTGCAATTGAATTGAAAACTGCCAAAAGTTACTTGGTTAATTACATTGCCTGTCAAGGAAATAAATACATTTCACAGCTGGTTAAGTAAGACAATATCGATCTTGTGATTTAATGGGGAAACGGCCTAGATATCTAGGAAATAGTTCATCATTAGATCAACATTGAACCATATATTCTAGTGACGACTGACTGACATTATACTCAATGTTAATTCTTGACTAGCATCATTTACTATCAACTTCTATCACATCAGTGTCTCATTTGCCTTTAAAAACAATTTGTTTCCAAATTCCCTCTGAGATGCCTGCAAAATCTACTCTCTTTTAATGCAGAATGAAAAATTTCTTTTCCAATGTGACCTCTTTTGTTTTTGGCTCATTAACTGAACATACTGTTGAACAACTGAATACAACAATGATAACATCCTCTTTCTTATCAAGGAGTTCCGCTTGGAAGCATGACTATTATACAGAAGCATAAATGTTTGCTTGTAAGGCTTTTTATCACACCATCGGTGGGATATAGTCGTCATACTGGTCGTGGTCGTGGTCGTGATCGTGGTCGTAATCGTCCCGCTTTTTGTCATCGCCGTTTAAGGAAAACTGCACATCAGATTTTCTCCAATTCGCAGAGATGATAGAGCATATGGAGTACTAGAGCTGATTAACTTTTGGGTGGCCATCTTGTTTTCTGGCGGCCATTTTGAAGGTTTTTCGAAAAATCTTGTCATCGCCATTTCAGGAAAACCGCTCATTGGATTTCCTTCAAATTTTCACAAATGATAGAGGATATCAAGTACTAGAGCTGATTAACTTTTGGGCGGCCATCTTGTTTTCTGGCAGCCATTTTGAAGATTTTTCGAAAAAAATCTTGTCATCGCCATTTCAGAAAATCCGCTCATCGGATTTCCTTCAAATTTACACACATGATAGAGGATATCAAGTACTAGAGCTGATTAACTTTTGGGCGGCCATCTTGTTTTCTGGTAGCCATTTTGAAGGTTTTTCGAAAAATCTTGTCATCGCCATTTCAGGAAAACAGCTCATCGGATTTCCTTCAAATTTACACAAATGATAGAGGATATCAAGTACTAGAGCTGATTAACTTTTGGGCGGCCATCTTGTTTTCTGGCAGCCATTTTGAAGATTTTTCGAAAAAAATCTTGTCATCGCCATTTCAGAAAATCCGCTCATCGGATTTCCTTCAAATTTACACACATGATAGAGGATATCAAGTACTAGAGCTGATTAACTTTTGGGCGGCCATCTTGTTTTCTGGTAGCCATTTTGAAGGTTTTTCGAAAAATCTTGTCATCGCCATTTCAGGAAAACAGCTCATCGGATTTCCTTCAAATTTACACAAATGATAGAGGATATCAAGTACTAGAGCTGATTAACTTTTGGGCGGCCATCTTGTTTTATTGTTCTTGAAATTTGTAAACATAATAGGAGAACAGTTTTCCTGGTTCATAGTGTCTGCCTATTTGATGGTGTGATCTCGTTCACGTCCTGTGCCTTGTTCATTTTGGAACCTAAAATGTGGGTTTATATTGACTTTGCCGTGTCAGAGGGCATAAACATAGAGGGCATAAATATTGGTTTTGTAATGTCTGAAAAAGCATTGACTTTGTTGATATTAAGAGCTGGAAGAATCAGATGTTGTGCATTAACCCTAAAAGAGTGCTCAGATGTAAGCTTATTTAAAAGGCAGCTCAACTACAAGTTTGAAAAATTTCCAACAGATTTTGGCTTTTGTGTTGTTGAGGGCATAAAACTGTTTCATGTTAGAGAGGGCATACATTATTAAAAAAAGTTTGATTTGTGTTGAATTATCATGCAAGATCCTACCACTCTGACATTTTCCAGGAACTTAAAAGATAAACTGTTGCTAAGTTGTTTCCTAGTGCATAATTATTACGTGACAAAATCGACATAAAATTCTTGGTTAAGATTACAACTTGCGTGATTGCCTTACAAACACAAACTAATTTGACATTTCGCAGATTTTAAATCAACTTATGATTGATGCTTTTCAACAGTGTAACTTTATATTTATGTTAAACTGATTAAATGGTTAAACTAGAAATGTCATTGCCATTTGTTCCTGTAGCTTCAGTTTTACCTCAACAGTTTTCAATAAACTCAATTTATATCGAAGCAATCATTCATTGATTGAATGTGTGCTTTTGACATCAATGGATCTTTCATTTTACTATCTATCATAGTTTATTTATTTGAACAAAAAAATTATTAAAAGTATATTTATGTGAACAGAAGTAATTGAAAAAAGTTACTTATAAATTAATTTTGCAGATAAATGTGATTTTGTTACAATAAAGCAATAACAATGAATTTTTTGATTTTCTATTACTTTTGTGAATGAGAGAGAAATCAGTTTGAAAGCTTTTACATTTAAAGGATAAATCAGGGGGATAAGTCAAGATAAAGGATTGGTCAGGAAATCGACTTAGAAAATATCAAAAGTTGTAATATCTGAAAAACCAACTCAGTCACACATATTATTAAACCTTATATCTTCTTCTTCTCGATCTCCTGAGAGCCCAAAATATCCATTTGTATCACGATTAATGAAGAGTATTGGAATCAAAAGCAATGTACTGTATAACAGTGTGCTGGAACTGAAAAGAATTCAAGTGCAAATACTAAATGAATGAATGAAATCTCTAGATTGGAATTGCAGATGAAAGTATGTGAAGTTAGTTCCTCATAACTCAAGCTTTCGTTTATTACGTGATATTGGAAAAAAGTTATCTTTGTAATAAAGATCATATCAGTTAGATTAAGATTTTCATGGCTTCTGTGATTTTTTACAATAACATAGTTAATCTGATCTGATTCTGGTTTGTTTTAACATTTTAACATCTTACTTAAAATTTCCAAGGAATCAAAGATTTTAATTTTTATCACACCCTTGGGTGCTATATTGTGATCTGTTTGGGATTTGTCCGATGGGTGGGCTGGTGTCCTGATTTTTATTGTCTTTAGGTTTCCAACCAAACCTTTTGATGGATTCATTTGAAATTTTTATGTATGAAAGTTTAGAAATGTTAGTCTGGGCATTCTGGGTAAATGTTAAGGCAGCCATTTTGGATTTCCCGTCCTAAAATTTTGTTTGTTGAGTCTTGTCTACAGGTTTCGAGTCAAACTGTTTCAGGGATTCATTTGTAATTTTCATGGATGTTTCTACTGAACTGATTAGTTTTTTGTCATTCTGGGTAAATGTTTAGGTGGCCATTTTGGATTTTCTGTCCATTTTGGATTGTCTGTCCAGGCTATTGAAAGGTGCAATTCTGTTCACTCAGTGTCTTGTTAAAGCTTGGATCAGTTCATTTTTACATTTTTAAATGTATTCATTTTTACTTATAAAGATTTGAGTAGGTTGTCTTGTGGCTTTCAAGTGGATCTCATGTATCAATTTAATTATCTCTGTAAAAATCAATGTTTTGGAATGTTAAAAGATTAGAAATCTACTAATCTGATAGACTAATCTTGAAAACTGATTAAAATAAAGAGAATCCTCTGTCCTGATTTTGGATTAATTCAGATTTTTTACCACTTTAATAAGAAAGTATCCATTCCATAGTTACCAGACCATACTTATCTAACATTTTTTGGAAAACTAAATTCAAAGTCAAGTGGTAATATGTGTTAGAATAGAAAGTAAAACTATATATTAGTAATGTTAAAGACAGAACCAGAGGTATTAAAAATAAAAATAGAATTTGTTAAATGGGATAACTCTCCATGAATTCAAAATGGCTGTCTGAAATGAAATTGGATTCATACAACTGTAACTTTTAGTATGAACTATTCACTATGAAGATATAATATAGAATATACATTTTGTTCTTTGAGATTTGCTTCTCCAAGGAATTGCTATTTTCTATTCTATTTTTGTATTCATGATTCATTACATTTCCTTGCAGCCTAATTGTATTTTACTGGAGAATAAATCTGCATGTAAAGTGACCCAATTACATATTCTAGTATAATAAATCTGAATTCTGAATGACATACTCTGTATTCTTGCTATAGAGTACAGCATGCTCATATTTTACTGTACCTGCAAGTAAAATACAGGTTGTCCCCAAAAATTGTACTGACACAAACATGGTGACCCAACTATGGAATAACTCTCTGGGTGGTGATGGAATATTATACTATTGTGATCATCTAAACAGACAGCTTAATTATCATAAACATCTGAAAGTTCTATTTCATGACTCTGGTTATTTTTAGAGAAAACCTCGTTGAGTACCTATTTTTTATATTTGGTTGCCCAAATATGGAATAACTCTGTAAGTGGTAAAAGAATATTCGTGAAAAGTAATCTGATAGACAATTGAATTTTTAGTAATGTCTGAAAGTTTCACCAGGTAACTCTGTTCGGTTTGAGAGACATATTGTCAGTTATGCTTCTGTCATGATATGAATTTGAAGCTGTAATTAGAAAATAAATTTTCTCCTCAATGTGAAAAGTTCAGCTTTTTTCGAAGAAGGTTATTAGGGATGTCATGGTTACACGATATTGTCATGTCCCTCAGAACTTTGGTCTCTGGACAGAACAGGATGGGATAACCGCCATGTACTGAAGATTTCAATCCACGATTCTTGCTCCAATAATTAGTGGTCACGAGCAAAAGTTTGCTACCTCAAATAGAAAATGAGTTCGGTGGATTTCAAACCAATTTCATTGAGCGTTAAAGAACTCATGGGATCAATTAGAAACGTGTGGTATCTCTTTTCATTATATTTCTGAAAGTGAAATACAACCTCAACGTTGATTGGTTCATACATGATTAATTTCCATAAACAAAAAAATGTTTAGCAATTGCAGTATGTGCTTCACTTCCAGATAATTAAAATAGAGTCGGGGCTTAATAAATTCACTGGTGTGCATGAAAATCATAGATATCACATTAAATACAGGAAATAAATATGTACTTTAAATGGGTATGATAACTGGTACCTTCTTCCAAGTCCTCTTGTTCTCTGCTAAATGTTATTAACTATTTAATTGGTAGTGTCCTGTCCAGTCTGAGAAGGCCCATCCAGAAATGGATAATTCCAATCCTGTCCTGTAATATTTTTCCTGTGACATTCTTAAAGATTAAGTATTTCTGGGAAATTAAAAAAAATTTACGGTGGGTTATATAAATATATATATGTCAAATTAATCGGATCAATGTATTGTATGATAATATAATATCATCCATTCTATTCTTTATTGAAACGCACACCATGATATACAAAGACTGCTGCAGAAAGTGTTATCAAGTGTTTTCACAATATATTCACGACATCATGTGAAGCAAAATTATTTAAAATATCAAAGGGATCTTTGGGCATTGGTAGTAAGGGGTCTTTCAAGATATTTAATAAGGGGTGTTTTAGTATAGTCAGAAAAAAGTCCACAATATCATTAAAATTGCCACAGGTTCTGTACATTTGGCAACAGTGTGTATGGTGGCTGTTGTGATGTTATTTAAGGGACAACATCAATCCCAGCTTGTAGTTTGTAGCATTACATTTTGAGTATTTCACTATAAATCACAATTTTAATTGGAATTAAATATAGGTGTTCAAAGTTTTATAAATAAAAGATAAATTGTTTGCTATGTTTTAATTTCTCATAAACTTTAATTTCTCATAGAAGGCATTTTGTGAGAACCAGTCAATACATGTATATGAATGTTACGTCATCAGCCATTTTGGACAAGAGCTCCTGCAGTTGCAATTGTCAAGTCATCATGGTTAGAGTACAGTAGTTAAGTTGAATGAGATAAATTAGAAGAAATTGTTCAATAAATTGCCTTTGTCTTTTTATGGTTGTATTATTAACATTGTATAAACATTTTTATGAGTCTTTGTAGTTTTATTATACTTTTGAGATGATTTATGCATAACTTATAATTTACATAATAAGAAAAGCAGGTCAAAGTGAAATATTATCATAAATGATCGAGTTGTACTAAATAAAACAACTAACAACTATTTTTTATTATTCTGCACATTTGGTTGGCATTAATAATTACATTGTGATTAATTATAAATGGAAACCGGATACATGTTAAACACAAAGTACAAAGATTAATACATATGATGGATATATGTTTACATATGTGTATAAATTGAATGCAAAGTATGTGGCTATGGTTCGATACAATACTGTCACTATATTTGTCTTTCTATGAACAATGTCAGGCCCAAAGATGAGTTGAGGAGGAATTTTTTGATTTTATGTCAGTATTAATTGCGTTCTCCTCATCAACTCATTGGTGGCCTGAAGATAATTGCCTTCATTACATATCATGAGTCAGGGCTCTTGCCAGGCTTTTAGACTGTGGCGCAGCACCACACTCTATTTAGCTCCCTCCACACCCTATTGGCAAATCATGACTGTTTCCATGACTGAATATACAATAATAGCATGTAAAAAGGATAAAACATAACATAAATATGATTTATCATGACTGAACAGTTATTCTAAAGATGTTAGCACCACACCCTAAATATTTCCTGGTAAAAGCCCTGTGAGTGATGCCAAAACCACATCATTTGTTTCTATAGCAATATGTCAGAGATTTATCCATGTTTTATATTCATAAAATGTATTGCTTAATACTTTGAATAATTTGAATAAGATTAAGTAATCCAATGCAGCAACATAACCAAACACCATGATCCCATTCAGGTGTTGATGTTTTTATAGAAGTTATATATAGAATTGCTATTTATATGTTTCTTGTTTACAGTAGAATATCAAATTCAGTTCTGCTTTCTCTCTATTTACTTCTTATGCTTTTACCGTTTCAGTACAGTATTATATACAAAGTTCCATCTTAGGCAATTTACTCATGTAAACAGGGCCAGTCTGCTGGTCATTGACTGGTTACTTTTCATAGAAGCAGTTGATTGGTAGCAAAATAACATTGCAACTGGTTCACATAATGCCATTCTGACCAGCTGTTCTCTAGTTTTGAAATAGAGTCCAACTTAAAAAGAATTTATGAAAGGGCATGAGCTTACACAGAGGAAATTCTAGATGCTGTGTGATCAGTCCGAGAATTGTAAAACATATTTATTTACATGATAAAGTTAAATGTACATATTCTAAATGACTACATCATTATTGTTAATATCACTAGGCAGAGTTTAAGAATTATCAATACACCATGATAAAGCTAATTGCTGAGAAAGTCGAAATTCTTAAAAAAATTAATTTTGATTTATACAGTAATGGTTTTCCATCTAATATTTTTGTCTAAGCTTAATTGTAGATTGAAACAAAATATGTAACCATCTAATCGTGGAACAACTTTTACAATTATATATACCAGTAGTATTTTATTTAATACCAAAATTGGAGAATTACATTGTCTACATTTTATCTGTTTTGTATTATGCTTACTGCTTCTACATTGTTCTGTAATTGTCTTTAATACTGGGTTACCTCATTGGCTCCCTATCTGTTCTATATATGCTCACTATATATACATTGTTCAATATGAATCCTCTAGCTCTAGAGATTCGAAGTCTGTGCAATCTGTTTTCTATCCTTTTTTATTGCACATCTTTGGTGCCATTATGTTCTGATCTGTTTGATTCTTTCATGGTTCAATGAACCATATTCCTTACAGTTTTTTTTGTCACCATTATATACACAGTTTATCCTCCTGTTATATGAATTCCTTTATGGTCATTATGAATTTGTCTCTCCAGTTCTTTATGGTTTATAAGTCTCACTACATGTATTTAATTCATTCTTCCACAACCATCATGGTCTGGTTCATCAATTTTTTCTCTTCACTCTCACTCTGAGCAGTTCTTTGTTAATACTTCTGTGTAAAATAACTACATTGGCTCTACAGTATGTTTATAGTATATTTTATTCTTTGCTTTATTGACACCTTTTGGAATCATTCTAGTGCTGTTACATCCACATCGCCATAAGTGGCACAAGTTGCATTCTTATATTAGCTGACCTGTATGTATATTATGCAGAGATTATTGGAAAGCTGCAAGAATCTCATTGTAGTTTTATCTTTATCTTCCATTTTTCTGCTTCAATGAATATATCATTTCACATTGACTGACTTATCTCCCAGATAATACTGACATATTACCTGTGGCATGTTTTTTTCTCATTCTTACATTTTTACCTTAATGTGTGTAATCCTTCATGCAGTTTCCTATCCAAATCAGGTTCATATGTAAAACACATGTGTAATTAATGTTTCCAGAATACTGTTCCAGTGTTCTTTTATGGGAGGTGAGCTATACCAAAAATGCCCTCTGCACTTAACACTTTGGAAGTCGCAGCAGTGTCTAACAATTAAATTGAACAATCTGCCAAGTTTTTGATAAAACTTGAAAAGTATTCATGCCACATCTTCAATCTTTGTGGTTATATCATCTATATTATTCGCCTTGTTGGAATCTATAATTTGGCTGTCTGATGTTTCTATCAGTGCAACTGTATCAACATCTTTGTCAATATCATTTTCATTTATGTTGTCATTTTCCAAAGCTTCTGCTTTGATACGGGCTGCTTCCCTATCAAATGAAGTTGACAGAGTTTCAGTGATAAAGTGAATTGTCTTTTTGTAGACCAAATCAATGTTGATACTGTATCTGTCACCTAGGACTTCCTTTACTGCCATTAGAAATGGGTCTTCTATTTTCTGGAAACATCAAAGTAAGAAATTAGGAAAATTGGGTGAAAATTAACTGAAAATGATACAACATCATGAAATAGAAACATGCAACAATATGAAAGTTTTGAATTAGATTTTCTTCATTATCGATATTGTCTAATTCACTAAGCAACAAACTTCAATTGAATATTATTAAAATAATATACATATTTATAAATCAGTCTAGTGTATATTAGAGACCAGTATAATATTTTAAAGAAAGCTTAGGTGATATTGATTTAAGCTATTTCTATTTAGTTTGTGCATTTTTTATGTCCAAGCAACACAAGGCTTAACAAGGACATTCATTAGATTTCCCCGAAGACCCCTCATTAGTACAACTCTTACAACTATAGATTCAGATGGATCTAAAAGGATATTTCCTGGAAATTCGTAACAAAGAGATCTACACGCAACATCAGGAAGTGTCTCAATTTTACTACTGACACAACCTCATTTTAGCTTTCGAGTTGTTTACAGGATTTAATGTTTGGTACAAAAAGAATGTTGATGTTTTTCTTGGAAAACCAGAATGTTAGATAATAAAAGAAAATCAGGGCGCACAGGTCTAGAATATATTGAGATAATTGAGCTGAGAGCTCCTTGTGTTTATTCATTGAATATGAATATTAAATTTGACCCAATGTCATTGTCAAATAATAAATTAACATTTTGTATCTCACAGTTTTTCTTCTGGCTAAGAAAACACTTACAGATCCCTCCAATTTGATTTACAATGAAAATGATATCCCTCAACTGCAATGTTACTGTTTTCCTTGACAGTGTCAGGGTGTAATTGTAACAGTCAACCCCTTGGTATATTAATACATGTAGACTACCAATTATGTATTTTTCAGTATAGTCTTACTTTTTGATTATGTTGGTTTAGCTGCCATGTTGCGTAATGAATTACCCGTACATTGTTGATTTTGACAAGATAAATATCATGTTCACAGACATAAATCATTTTTAAGGTGATCGTGATATTCATTGTATTTTAATTAACCTCTTGAATCCCAGGCTCTAAAATCGGTTGAAACCAGAGAATTTTTCATTTTTGCCACCATTTGACATTTTACTATACCTATACAACTATGGAAGCTCAACTTAGTAACTTTAGACGGCAGAGAACATTTCTACACATTTTAAAACAATTTTTGTGTAATCTGAATGAAAATTGTTCAAATAAGAGCAATTTTAGTGAAAAATGTTCTTGTCACTCTGGATGTCAAGGTCATTTCTGAGGTGACGATAAATCTCGTCACTCCAGGTAGTCAAGAGGTTAAGCTGCATGTGAATGCAGTCCCAGTTGTTGCATTTCTCAAAATCACTATATTTTTGTTTTGTTTTTCACTTACATTTAAATCTATATTTCCAAATGTATTATCATAATCATGAGAAGTTTTCTTTTTTGTGACTTCTGAACAGAACCTTTGATAGTTGGCATTGGAAATTACCTCCTGTTTTGCAGTGACTTGTGAGCAAAGAGGTGTTGGTTTCATTTAAACCAAATAATCCTTTTTGCAGCATGACTTATTGGAAATGTCCAAAAAGATTTTCACCGATGTACTGGTGATCGAAGAGACATGTTTAGGAATATCAAGCCAACATCAAACCTAATGTACATCCAAAGATGAGATATATTTAGCATAGCTATTATTTTAAGATCATGCTAAACAGGAGCACATCTGCAATTTTTTCAATAGGGGGCCATGAATGTCAAAGCAAATCATCCTTTTGGCCATTTATCAAGAAATTATACATCAAGACTCATGATCCTAGGCTACTTCTGGGAATATTCATGGAAATTGTCAGGTATTGGCTTGTACATTGTATTTTCTCTCTGAAAAGAGTATTGTGACCACACATTTGTCTCTGTTGAGTCGTGTTTACTTCAAAGAATGGAATGAATGATGTTTTTCTCTTCACTTGTTTTTACTAGAAATACGATGAGATTGCGCAAAAGTCAATACTGTATTTAAAGAACAAAACCTCTAGTGTACCATATCAATTAATAAAACCAGAACCAACAAAAGATTCTTGAATCATAACCAAACAACCACGATGATAACATCTCTTAATTAATTCATGTATGTGCAAAAGCCTCCTCATTCAATTCACTTTCAATGCTCCATCATCTAAATGTTAAATGGTTTGTCTACAGTTCACATTTGTTTCATTTAACTCCACACACTCACCAAATTTATAGCATACCTTCATGTAGGTTTGTGGATTCATTGTGGTAAACAATGTACAGGATACCAAAACAAACACAGTTGTTGCTCATCCTAATCATTGAGAATACCTAGTTCATTGACCTTTATTTGAAACTTAGATATATCATACCTTCATGTGGTATGATTATGCTACTTTGTTGAGAGAGAGCGAGAGAGAGAGAGAGAGAGAGAGAGAGAGAGAGAGAGAGAGAGAGAGAGAGAGAGAGCTGCTGATTTGTGGTTTGTTTAAGAGTTCAAACAAAGTATATAACTATTACTCATTTTGGCTTCAGCCTGATTTCATAAATCTGTATATCTAACATTTTTACGAATTCCATATGGACAACATTGTCTGTTGAACTTGATTTGCAAAATATATTTTGTTCATTTCCTTTGGTTAATGGAATTGTTTGCCTTTTGGTGCTTTATACCAGACATGCCATGTTAGTTGTCAAATAGAATGGTTCTACAGGATATTGAACTGAACATATACCGGAAGAATATAGATGAAGAAGGTATTACCTAAAGTGGGCCTCATATTGCCATTCATGTGATAGAATTGTAATACAAAGGAAAAATAAGATGAAGCTTTATGGGTATAAGGGCTCATAATTTAAGCTGTTCTATGTCATTGATTTCATTCCAAAACCTTTCATTTAGTAACTTAAGTTTATACTTCAAAAGGATATGCTTTAAATTTTGTCAGTAAATATCTCAAGAGAATGGCCCAAGATTAATCAGTTCTGGCAAGAATTTTAAAGAGCTTAATAAAATGTATTGTGGTTATTTTATTTTTCTCATTGTAATTCACACTTTGACGTAATGTCAAAGTAACAAATTGGAGGAAGTGCCTTGATTTGAGTTTGATAAGATTTTTTGGTTTTCTTAATTTAAACCTACTTATAACACAAGCTGCAGGTTATAATGTGGCTCAAGTTTAGAGACTATAGTTCAGTTTAAGAATGTACATGTTAGGAAATCCTACATTTAGTCCCTCCCTTTTGTAGCATTGACATAAGTCCAAGTCAAAGTAACATTGGTAATATTCTAGGCTTTTGTCTAGAAATATGACTGAAATAAATAACGTGTTCTGACCATTAACAACATCCTAACAAGACTCAGGACAAAGTTTTTCTAATGTATAGCCATCATTATATTTCAACAGGATAATTATTTTGCCTTGTACATAAAATTTTCAGGAAGTCCATCTAAGCTCACATATAATATGATAGATGTGCAGTTTTGCATTGACAGATTTATGGGTTTACCAGTTCATATTCAAATAATTTAGAATTCAGTATATATTTGAGGATTCAGTATTGTTTTCTGATCATACAGGGTGATTGTTAATTTCTGGGAATTAATCTGCCACTTCATTCAGTCATTTTCCTTATAGCTCTATGAGGTTACTGGAGCAAAAAATTGTTTTTTGTGATACATAGCTTGTTGAAATAAACGTTTGATCTCAAAATGATTTAGACAGTCTTCATTTCACAGGTAAAATCCAATAAATGATGATTATACTCATACAAAATTAAACATAAGGGACAGTGTGTAATGTAGATTAGGATCCTTTCATGTAATCTAAAACTCCCAAGAATTTGTCAAGAAAATTAGGAAATGGTAGACAATTATCAATATTAAAATATCCAAGTGATAAAATGGTATAAATGGTGTAGAATGGTAAGGTTCTACAAGGGGAGGTATATCTTCGTTTTTGGGCTTTTGGTCAGTACTAAAAGGATTTAACAATTGATCAATGTCAAGGTAGATTAACCTTTGATTACTTCACTTGAAGGGAAGACCATTTCTCTCTTGATATGATAATTATAACTTTATTATTATATTATTTATATTTAGCAAAGCATGGGAAAATGTGTTGGAAATATCAAATTTGATCATTTATAAATGCAGCGCTCATTTCAAGTAGGCTCCCTAGATGACATCACTTCCTTTGTGAAATTTCAAAAGATGGCAGCCCACATATAATGAGCACTGTATGTATTTAAATGATCAATTTTCACAGTGTCAAAAAATTTCGCCACATTTTGTTAAATATTGATATTGTAATAATATCAAGAGTGAAATGGGATTGCAATGAATATCCCTTTAAATATGGCATGATCAATCATACAAGGCAATGACCTATCAAAATCAAGCGAAGGCCAATAGATTTCATTTAAAACTCAGTTGGTTATTTTATTAGAAGGGAACACATAAAGAAAACTAGTTCCTGCAAATGACAATACGATGACCATATTGAGAAATGAACAAAGGAAGAAGGCCTTGAAGGTTACACCTGCCACAGTCATCTGTTCTTGTGATTAATAGAGCATTAGCTTAGAAGATTAATCCACAAATTCAATTTTTTTCACAATAACTTATCAGAGGTTTAGATATATTAATGTTATAGTTTAGGTTGTTTGAAGAATCAATGGGAGTCATGTTTTTTAATTTATGAGTCTGTTATCTTACACAGGAAATTTTGCACTGGTAAAGAATGAACATAAGATATAAAACGACAATGCTTTTAGGTCAGTAGTCTTAATCGGAAGCTTCATTTTAAGTAAGTTGAACAGATGTCAACGATAGTTATGTCAAAGTCATGAAGGACATTATTCCATTTAAAAGTTTGCATGAGACCCCCTTCTATCATGTGGGAGGGGTAAGGAATTTGACACACAATGTTGCCCCAGGGGTAGGAAATTGGTGGAAAATTTCATCCCTGGAGTTAAGAATTTGATTTGACGTTGCTGTTGTCTATTTTTTCCTTGAATACGGAAGTGAGCTCGTTTTTTATTAATTTAATGGCAATGATGATTTTGGAGGAAACTCATATCAATTATAATTAATGATGATTTAATTACTAAATTATGTCCTTCGGTTTTGTATTGTTACTACCTTATGATCTGTATTTCTTTTTCAAGGTATTTGAAGCAATTGTTTATGTTAACTAAAACTTACACTGCATGTTTTCTTTTTTTGAAAAAAAGTAATCTTATTTGATCTCTCTTTTATGATTTGTTGCATTTCACCTGGGCAATACAAATAGGTTAATTGTAAGTGACACAAACATGCAATGTATTTTCAATCTGGAATTAAATGAATATTATGGCATTGGAAATAATGTATCCAAGAATGACTTAAAGGTCACTGGTGCCACAGCTTTAGGCTATTTTTCAAAGATACTACCCTCTGCTTCATGTAGATCACCTTTCTGTCATAAACTGTATCTAAAGATTAGTAAAAGTACCACACAAAACCATTTAAATCAGAAGTATGATGAAACATAAAAACAACATAAACACACAAAAACTATAGAATAAAGAAAATAAAAAAGTTTTGAGAAATCTCCTCAGTGACTTTGGAACTCATTGACCTCCTCAAGAAGGTCATATGCCTTAGCCATAACAAAGCTTTTGAACTCAAATCAGAGAAAGAATCTCCTCTAATGGTGTAATACATCAGATAATTAGAATCCTATCAAACATATTGAATTTGTGTTTGTGCAACAGTGCGTACACAAATAAGGCATCCCCTTAACAATGATTTGATTTGTAGAAAATAAAGTCAATTCAACCCCCATGTATGTTTAAGCTCATTTAGTTAGTGGGATCAGCATTTAGAAAACAAAGACAATTCCAACAATTGATATCTAGAGACAACTGAGATCCACAGGATTTAAACATTTATCCAAGAAACATGTATTTGTAAAAATGAAAACTAAAAAATATTTCCAAAAACAAAAAAATATTGTGTGACATCTTAAATCATTGAGGATATCTTATATATACTGGTCAATAGTTAAATCATATGAATTTTCCATGTCAAGAGTATTATAAATCTTTATGAGGCAAAAAACCATTAAGGAGTATTTATCACAATCCAAAACTACAAATAATATCCTTATCTGCATCAACTCTAGATTCCCAAATCACCAAATACAAACCACCACCAAACAAATGACTAAACAGCTCAGGATCAGTTTTCCGATTTGTAAATCATGTTCATCAAATGGAAGTGAATTGAAATTTAAGGCACTTCTAATAAAACACTTAATGATACCATACCATGCTTTTTGTATTGTAACAGTGTGAACTGATGAGTTTCATGCGGGGCTGTTGTATACCCTTATACATCATAATAGTAAATTGCCATTTATAGAACTTCTGATGTAAGACATTTCTCTAAATTGGAGCTTAGAGATTTGTTTGATAAAGATGTTTCAAAAGGGTATAGCTTTAAGAATTGGGACAAAACCTTGATCTAGTTATGCATCAATCGAACTATCCTCCAATCTCAAAGATATAAATAAACTATCAGTGCAAAGGACTACATGTAAGTCGGTAAGTACACTAAAACAGTCATATGAATCATTGGTTGAATATTAAAATCAAATACAAATAGTGGTTTATTTTCAAATGGATGGAAAAAAAGAATTTCCACACATTTAAAAGATAATTTCATGATATTTTTTTTCTTGTATTTGATATTTGTATCATATGCTTATTTTACTGTATCATTAGATATTAAGAATAAAATAAATGCTTCATTCCAAAGGCTAATAGCATTCTTACATTGGGTGATAGTTAGATTGATGACTGTTTGATGCAATTAACTTATAATCAATAGTACAGCAAGAAGTTCTACATCTCTGTTTCATTTGAATTCTTATTAATTTTAAGAATTCAAAATTCATAGCAAATGTAAATATCTTCTTTATGAATTTATTGATCGTGTTTGTCCCAAGAAAGAAGGAAACACTGTACAACACACCTGAAAGTCACCTGCCTCAAAGTTGCGACCGTCGTAACTTTTGATTTTAGTATGAAAACGTCCAACAGATGCAAGTTGTGTTAAAACGTAATCAATATCGTCAATATTGCATATCGCATCATCGATGGTACACATAACCATAAAAGCATGGTTTTCAAGTGTCTTACTCTCGATCATCTCACTGGCTGTATCAAGTTTGTTGAATTGATCACCAAATAGTTTTTTCAGCTCTTTGTTGGTCTCAAATAATCTGAAAATAAAATAAACTATTTTAAACCAAGGTGAATTTAGAAATTCTAAATCAGCAACACACTTCTTTAAGATTATGGTGATCCATCATTTGATGATTTCCTCCCATTCATTCAGCTAGCTTTGTGGTGAGTTCAACAATTTATACCTCAATGACAATATGGTACTCATCATTTTCAGTTTAGATTTTTGTTATAATAATGTTGACTATTTGGAATTTTTCTTGGTTTGAATCTTAGTAGGTCTTAGCTCACATCTTTGCATTATTCAGTGTATTAAGACTTTCATTAATGCACTTTGTTTGATCTATTGGGATACATCAAGGACATTTTATTATTCATGGATATAATGATGTTGAACACATATTACCCATATTTGTTCAGGACTGCTCATCTCATGGGACTTAGAAAGAAACTCTTACTAAATCAAATCTTTGTCATCAAGGTAATTCTATTATTTATAGATGCAATGAATACATAAAATCCATGGAAAGATAAAACACAAATAGAGGGACCTTGTGTTTTATTGTGCAGTGATATCTAATCCTTCCAGCTCACTCCACAGCATTTATTTGTGGACCATTTAGCTAATTACCCTTTAGTACTCTGTACATACATGTGGAGCATGTTGGAGACCAGAGTTACCTGTTTAACCAACTGAGATCAGGCTATCATTGAAATTCATATTTTTCTTTATGGTCATTTTACGTTTTGTTATTTTTTCCAGGGTATCCTGTTTTGTCAATCTATTGTTTGAAATTAATCAGATTTTATCTGTTTCAATCCCAAGGATATTTTCATTGAAGAGTAACGAGTCCTTGATGTCATTTCAAGATGAATAATGAGATTTTAAGGAATATCAACTGGTTGAAGAAGATCCTTTGTTCTGGAAAACATTTAGTAATTTATTGCTTCATCTTTGAAACATCAGTTACCTACCATTGGGAAACAATTGGCAATATATAAGTTTAGTCTTGTCTTCAGACTAACCTTTGTTACCTACCATCAATGCCATTGTGACCACAGTGACTGGGTTATTTATATGTTGTTTGAGATGATTAGTGATAGAGTCGGCTGTTTGCTGAAGCATGGCAAAGCACTTCATCAGGTGAACAAATTTACTCAGGCCAAACAAATCGATGTCTTGATTGACTGTTGGAGTCACTTGGGTATGTGCAAGAATTTGGAAAAAAGGCAAAAAGGAGAAGAGCAAAACTGTAAAGAAACGTAGCAAGAAAAGCAAACTCTAGGTGTAAACCTGTCATATCAGAAAATAGACCCTTTATATCCCAAAACCATGATCTGAACGTGAAAAGAAATACATCCCTTCCCCCTCCAATTGATGTTGTTTTGAGTGTTGAATTCAAAAATATGTTTTAAGGATGTCTTTTGTTGTGTTGAATCCTTGAATTTGTTTTCGACCAAATTAAGGACTGATGTTATGATTGCTGTCATTCCTCAAATCTTCCTAAGAGATAAATGAATTATTAGTCACCTATAAAATGAGTTCAACATGACAATCAGAGAGAAAGTCAATCAGTTAGATGTTGATTTAATCAACTGTCAGAAATATGTAATTATATTTGCAGTGTTTCATATAACTAGACATTGATAAAATGAGTGTATTTTATCTCAAGATGTGTTTCTTTCTAAATCAAATATACCTAGGAATGATGTCAACCAAATGATCTTGATATTAATTATAAGCACTATTGGTATTTTATTCATATCAGACACGTGTGTTCCTATTACAATGATATCCTATTTTTAGCACCTTTTCCTATTTCTTTGGTACTAAAGCAGCTAGCTGCTTTACTCATTCAATAGTATTTATTTTGGGATAAAAAATAAACACACCAACACCGTAGATCCTATGAAGGTTTCTCATGCATAATACTGGTAATGAAATGATGATGCTCTTTTCTCATTTTTTATGCTTAAACATCATTTATTCTTGATTGAATGAGGTTTTAGGTGTTGGATGAATTGCAGCTTTGCTTTTCCAGGGAGATGTGATATTTTCTTTATCCTACTTAAGGGGGAAATAATTAAAGAATCATATTATTAACTAAGGGTCATTCATTTTCATTAAGTGTAGAGCTTATTACATTTGATGATATCATAAAATCAATACAAACTTGAAATAGCATTTTTCTATTGATGTCAAAACATTTGGTCAGATAAGAAGGTGCCCTATAAGAAGACATAAATGTCGCGCCATCAGAATGGTGCAAAATATCACAAGAGCGTGCTGTTTTTAAAAACTATCGTTACATATCAAGTTATATATGATAAAATATATCTAATTTGTGTGTTAAATTATTTGAAGAATAAATTCATATTCCCATGTATCTCAGCAATCGTGATTATTAAGTCATTCCACTGATTGATGTATTGGTCAATGAAGTCATTCTCTTCGTCATTTTTAGATTTGGGATAATGGACATTTTAAGAATTTCATTGACACCATTGGTTTTTTTTACTCAACATTTACCATTAACACTGACCTTTAAGTTGGTGAATGTCTTTCTTATTACAATAGGAAGAGATTTAGTTGGATTTCCTATATGATTTCCATTATGTGAGCTTATTATGGGTGATAATGGCTTGTGCCTTTGTAAATCAAAGGATTATTACTGGATTTATGTGTCTAAACGGCCAGAATAGAAGACTAACGTATGGATTCTTCCTGTGTTGTTAGGAGTCTAAGATGATTGGATCTTCATAAAATCAACTTACTTTTACTTCCTTGTTCAGCTCACTTACACACCCAATTCATTACTATTTCATATGGAAATGTATTGTTTGCTGGGTATTGTTCTTTTGTATGTTTGTTTGGATTCTTTGTGTTCTCTATCATTTATAGTATCATCTTTATCATTCATTAGTAATTGCCTACTTTGGCCAGGAGAAAGTATACCTTTCCAATAAACCATGCAACCTTTTGGTATATCAAAGAAGCCATGATATATTGGATAGATTGATGATAGGTCGGTAGCAATCTGTCCAAGGAAAAATAGGGTTTACTTGCAAATTTAGAAGTACAACCAATGACATCATCAATATTGCCAATATATCATAGTTATTATGATATTTATTTATTTAGATATACTCTTTTTTAAAAGTGACACTTTTACTTTAAGGTGCATTTAATCGAAAAATATTCATAATGCCATGTTGGTTAAAAACAGCACATTTTATCAAACTAAAATGAGTCTTAAAAAGAATAAAAACATAAGCATGTTAATATACCAAAAGCTTGCAGGGTGTTCATTATACAAAAGTAAAGGAAACAATTGATTGTGTTATATCCTTGATAAACAAGACGATAATGATATGCATTTCAACAAACTTCCATGCACATACTATAGGTATCATATCAAGTGAGACAAGTCCAGGTTCCTATATCCGGTTTATATATTTAAACTGGTTAACCTGAATAAAAATTGATTAAATATTTTATTGATTTGTCCTATGTGTATTGTCTGGAAAGATTAATGGGAAATAAAGGCTTGATTGTTGCACATGTAGAAATACAAGCAACTATTACTGCAATTGAATACATTCTGTTTGATACAAACAATAATTCCGCTCTCATTTGTTAAATAAATATCTGACTTTTTGTCAAGTGTTAATAGCAAATATTTAGAATAATATATATCTAGATTAGTTTTTATGAGACAATGTAAATATAGATAACTGTTATAGTCCATAATATACTTTCTGAAAATTATTTTTAATATTAATATGTTCTGTTTGGGTCTTCACTATATATCTGATAATAAGTTTTACATGTACACTAATATTTAAAAGATGTAGACTTTAGAATTTTTAGTTCATCCTTGACATAATAATGCAGACTTATGTTTTGATTCTGATTGGTCCATATCATATTCATGGTATTGTGGGCTTCAATTGTGGGTTTTGTTTTGTTTATGCAAACATTTTTAGGAATGGATCTGGCATTTTGATCTAATATGATTGATACATTGATACTATATTTGATATGTCCAAGATATTACTGTCCAGCATTGTTACTATAGCATCTCTATGTACAAAACATTTATTCAAACATAAAACTAGATGGTTTTCTCTTGATTCTATATCGTAAATCGTTGATTTATAGACAGCTTTGCAAATGGATGTTGACCTTTTGATACATTTATTGACTTTAAGACTGAATTTTGTCTGTCCAATATCATTTGTCATATTACCCTAGCAACCACTGCAACAACAATATTGATGAAAGAAAAAATACTTTGATCAGTTGGTTCAAGATTGATTGTTTGAGACATTTTGACTAAATGTCAAGCATATCAAATCACATTATTACCACCTTGCCGGGCCAGTTCTAGGGGTTTTAGTGCTAGTTTAGAAGGCATTCATTTTACTATATCGACCTGAGCAATATGTGACGTCATAGTCGTGGTCAAGAATGCATTTAACGACCGGTAGAGAATGCATTTAACGACTGGCAATTTTCGCCGGGAAATTAGATATCGTTCAGTGCGCAATATTTTCTTGCTGTTTCAGTCCTGGTCATTAACGGTGGTAATAATACTAATAACGTCATTTCTGCGGGCAATATAGTGAATTATTATATCACTATCTAGCTAGCGACAGTATGATTGGTCAAAACTGGGTCACATGTCGTGGGATATCTGGCGATATTCAATGGCAATGCTAATCAGATAAGACAACCGTGAGATATCTAGCGATATCCCACGCTCCCGGGAATTTTCAAAGAATTTGTTTTCGTTCAGTGTAAATAATTTAGTTCAGTTTAAGTCAAAATGGCAGACGAACCGAGTAGATTCGTAAAAATATCTGAAGACTTAATGACTTAATAATATTAGGGATGTTTAGCTAGACAGTGATATAATAAAACAAATATTTCACTCTATTTTCGGTGAATACCTGTAGCACTTTCACAAGGTGATATTCCACTCGCCCTTCGGGCTTCGTGGAATATCACTTGTGAAAGATGTACAGGTATTCACCTCAATAGAGTGAAATATTTGTTCAATATCGGTCCAATATTTCACAATATTGCCCTCGAAATGACATTATTGTACTATTGTCAGAATCCATTCCTATTCCTGATACTGCTAGATCACCCTGTACTGGAGAAAAGTATCAATATTAGCAATTGTACTTTTTATGATATAATATAGCACATCCTGGTTTTACCTTATAGTATCATATTACATCCTGCATTAATTGATTTTTCCCCATGTATGAAAGAAATCCAGATATAAATCAATTCATATCTGAGAATTCATGGAGCTGCTCCAGTGAACCAGATATTTGTTATTTTTTCCTTGTCATTTGGATTATGGGTCAACTCCCACTCATGTAGTGGAAGTCCTTTGTATCCCAAACAGGGAAGAGTGTCGAGAAATGACACAAATGAGGAAGTTGTAATCAAAAGATTTACTCTTTCTCAATGCAATATTAATCTGATAAAAGAACTGATTTAATAATAACACTCATTGTCTAGAAATAGAGTAAGACTGACATTGTCTGCAATCATCTATTCATAATTTTTTGAAAAGTAATAAAGTAATACATGTTTTCATGAAATTAATCAACAAGTCAACCATGTTGTCTTTTGAAACAAAAGTGTATTCAAAGTTAATCAAGAAAAATCCTTTTTCGTAATCTGACTGACATTCGTCTAGTCTTTCAACTAGCCACAATTATAACAGAGATAATAAGAGTAAATGTGATTTTATTCTGTTTGAATTCTATACCTCAATATAAACATGATATGATCAAAGAATATGATGAATGTGATGTTGATCTTTTGATATATTTGTAAGATATGTATACCCTCAAGACTTTGTTCTACCATTTCCCCATTCTCTCTAGCACCAGTATGATCTTGGGTTCTTGTGTGTGTTTTTACAATTGTTTCTGCTTTGTCCTTGATGATGGTTATTGAATTCCATAGAGCCATGTTTTAGTCCAGATTCTATTTAGATTATCAGATTATTATCCAGTGGTGGAAATTAGAATACTGAGTATTGACTAAAACATTGATTCCATCATATGTGTTCTCTATATCTCTCTTGCAATAACAATTAAATATGTGAAATGAGTTAATGTCATCTTTTACTTTTGAACATGCTGAATGTTGAATTTTGTAATTGTAAGTAAAGAATTTGGTATGTTTTCTCCATGAAGCCCACAGGGCAGCATTTAAAAAAACAAAAAGTAGAACTGTTGAAGGGAACTGTAGAAACATTATCAAGAAAATATCATAGTGTTTTAATCAATGATATGTTATTCAATCAGGTAGTAAAGCTTATAATCCCCACCTGTTTATTCAAAGGTCTCAAAAGGTTATTGCCATTCCCCAATGTGTTATGCAGCATGTAGCACAATTTATCACTTCATTAGGGAACATCTTTCTTTAAAATAGCAGCAAAGATAGAGATCATTTGAGGACAATTGTCTCTATAAGCATGCAAAATAAATCATGTTTTTAAGCAACATTAACTAACAGGGTGATTGTGAAGGATAGTGCAAGCAACATATTTAAAAATACGGCTGTACCTAAGGAACATAAGCATTCCAGCGTCTTTCATGTTCCTTGAGATTCCTTTCCACGACTTTGACAGTGCAAATATTTGCCTCTCAGATAGGGGACACCTTGGGTCAGGTTTTGTGAGCCTTTTTGGTGATTCTTCATTCTGGTTATTGTCGCAGTCAGCTTTACCATCCTGCACAGTGAGTTGTGCCGAGACTGAACAACCCATTCCCATACGTATGTTTCACTTTAGGTTTGACTGGTAGTGGCTTATGCCGTTGACATTGATTTTCAAATTATATAATGTCAGCGTTTTCTGAAAATAGAATATATTATTATTGATTCTAATATGACATGTGACATCACAATAGCAAGAACAATTGATTTACTGGTCTATATTGGAGTATGTATGACTGCTAAAATTCATAAATGCAAATACAGTGTAGTTGTGTTTCTTGTCTGTTAATCATATGGAATCGTAAGGAAGAGCTCTATTTTATGATAAATCGTAAAATCTCGGTCCTTATTCCTAAAATAATCAATAAAATTTACAGTTGTAATATGCAATACAATTAAATGTCAATCTAAAAATTTCTTGTATGTTATGTCACGATAATGAACAATTCTCTTCATTGCAAATTGTTTTCAGAACATCTCTAGTGGGACCATAATTGATTAAATCATGTTTGAATATGTACACCATTCAATATGTCATTTCAGTAATGGTAAACATAAATATGGATACATTTGTAACCTCACTTATTTTTGTCTAATTATGAGTTTTGGATACTTTTACCTCTGGATTTGACCCTTTCATATCCGTGATTGTTTAAAACAGTGCCATCTTTTGCACATGTATCAAAATTTGGCATTTCAAAAGAAACATAGTAGGCTTTAGAGATGAAATAATTATCATCATTTTGACTGATTAAATTAGATTTAAAGACTATATTTTTCTTAAAATTTCTGACAATTTGATGATAACTTGCTTAATAGACATACAGTTATGGTTGATTATATGTAAGGATTTGCCTTGATGATGTTTTTCCAATGTTGACCTAATTCTTTAGTTGATGCTTGCTCATTTCTCAAATTATTGCTCTGTAGGAAATTAGAAGTGAGTACAAAGGGAAATGCTTTATTAAAATAGAAAGTGTAAGTGAATCCATCAATCCAATCTGCAATTACTGTCTGAAATGATGAGGTTAAACCAGGAGAGATTTATTTAACTTATTATCTAAGAGAAGTGTTGATTTATATCTAGACTCGGTAACAACTTACTTTGATTAATAGCAGCTTATTGACTGGTTTACATTAAAAAGTAGTCACTGAGCTGATTTTCTAAGAATTCTAGATAAGGAGTTGGTTTTCCGGGTGTCCAACACAAAAACCAATTTACTACTGCATAGTGTTCTCCTTACATATATGTTCTATTCTGGACTCTGTTTCCATTATCTGACTACAGTGGCTTTCACTTAGAAAATGAGAATTTGAGCAAGGATGTATTTACTTAACACGGTGACATCATCATATTCCTAAATATAGATATTTATTTGGGAAAAAAAATTCTGGTGTCACCCTGTACCTTTAATACAGGAGACATTACCTTTTTCAAGCATTATACAGTGTCCTTAACAGTATTCATGGACTAAAGGTAGTAACTACTGAGCCATATAACCTTTTTTCAAACTAGTAACTCATGACATTACCTAAAAGAAATCATCGTTTGACCTTTAGGTTGACCTTAAGCCATAAGTGTGGCCTTGGCCTGAGCATTGACCCATTTAAATAACCCTTGTTTGACCTTTTATACTGAATGTGATATTTCTATGACTTTGAGATAACAATGTAACATGGACTCTTGCTTCCTAGTATGATCACCCAGCTGTTTCATTTCAGCACATTGATATGCATTACATGTACATATACTATTCTACATATATATTATATGCTGTCTCAGCAATTTTATCAATTATATGAAGCAATATAGGAGAAGCATGAGATATAATCATCTGTTAATCCTTTGAGTATTGAAAAGTGAGCAGTGATAATATTGAATACAATCTATAGTTAAATCCCCAATTAGTTTCATAGCCAAATGCTGATGTGCTAATGTATCCAATAGTCGTGTCAATTTATCTAACATATATTGTCAAAATGTCAACTTAACCATTATTGATCCACAAATATTGTTTATAGGTCATGTTTATAGGTTTTGAAGCATCACAGTTTATTATAAATTAATATTGAGAAACGAGATGAAATGTTCAGACCAGTATTTCAGTTGAACATTTTGAATTTTCAATTAACATATTTACTATTCCAGGTTCTTATCTAATGCGATTAAATGTTTTTTTAAACACCCAGGCTAGAGACAGTTTATGATTCAAGTTTGCTTAATATTCTTCATATATTCTATAGGATTTATGATATTTAGCTTTCAAATGTTGCCCTTTGTGCTTTCTCATAAATCAATGATTCATGTTTCTGTATATAAACTAACAATAAATGAATGAATGTTACATCTTACACTCTTTTGTTACTTACAGTTTATTGTTAACAATTCACAAATAGCACTTAAAAAAGTACCAGATGACTTTACAAAATTATATACTCTACAAGTAATGGTTTTCTTAATTGAACACCTAAAACAGGTAATATCCTCTTTGAAGTGCAATAGATTCCAAATAGTTCCTTTTGTTCTTACAAAATAAAGTTTTGAATTTGAATTCTTTATTATTACTTGCTAGCAACTTTCCATATTAATTTATGTATTGTGTATAATAACTAATAACTAATGATACATTATAAGGAGTGTAAAAATATGTAACAATAAATTACACACTTACTCTTTAGGTTGATTTATGTTATGATGTTAATTCCTCTTAATTTCTTTCTAAAATATTTGGATGCAGAATCAAGAATATTGATAACGTCAACTCAGGAGATTTTTCTTGTTCCTTACAGATTCCACTCTTTGATAAAACAGATCAAAATGTTCTTATTTTTGTAGATAGCCTAAATGCCGACTGACACTTGATTTATGCCACGGTTCAATGCCCCCAGCCTTGGAATATGTGATACATTGCTTAAGTTGAGGAATATCATCTGCATCTTTATAGCTTATCTTGGATTACCATTCATTTGATCAAATATTAATTCTAATTTCGGAAATTTCACTAGGATCAATCTGTCACATTAATTTAATTAATAAATTAAAATGATAATACCATTTTCATTAAAGCGTAATTGAAAATATTATTTCATTAAAAAAACAACATAATAACATGACATAACTGTAATGTGATATTTTATCAGTAAATTTTAATTGATTTTTTTGGTAATGATTCAGTATTTCTTACCTTTGTCTCCTGCAGATTCTCACAAAATAAAAGTTATATGTTTCTAAATTAACCCCAATCCTTGTGTTTTGTATTCCAGTCAGTCTTTTTAGATGCTAAATTTAGTAAGTGTAATCATTATTATTTAGTATGTATGATTTGGTTCTGCCAATACTATTCATCTAAAAAATCCAATTTTACATGTACCAAATCACCTATTGTTATTTGTTTTTATTGTATTGATGAAACAAATTATCTAGTCCATGTGTTGTTTGTACTTGCCGCTACAGATCATTTCCTGGTTAAGAAAATGTTTCTTTTGCTCTATGTTTTAATGATCTCCTTATGCTGTGAATGACTACCAGTCGCTGTTGAGACTGGCTTTGATTCCTTCTGGCCTAGTGATGCAATGATATTGCTGTAACTAATATGATTTTTATATCACTTTCCCTTTTATTCAACAGAACTTGTGTTTGGGTTAATAGGGGGCTGGGATCAAAATGGCATACATCTTGATTATTTCAAATCCCTTATGAAATCATGGACATTTCTTCAGACTGCTCTAATAATAAATCATATAGTACACACAGAGCATTAACCTGAGAAAATCTAAAATTAAACAATATTCATTGATTTACTGAATGTCTATTTTTAAGTATTTCAACACTTGTCTCGCCTCTTAATCCTTCTGGAATAATATTCTCTTAAAATGTATTAATTAAATTATTTGTATTGGTTCATTCTTATTATTGTATTTACAGTTGGCAACAAATGTAAATTCAGCCCAGGCTCTGTGTCTATAATATAAAAAAAATAGTTCAAAGAATAAGTTTAACGCAAAGCATCAATGTTGCAGAGCACTGCAAGCTAGGGATCATGTCCTCAGAAAAATTTAGACCCTCTGGTATATTCTTATCATATGCCATATTTGCAAAGTAAGGGGGTCATTTGACACAGTTTCTAAGTCTATTCATTGTAGCTTCAAATCTTGACCAGATGATTCCAATCCTGCATAAAAAAACAGAACAAAATACTTATGATTTATATGTATGATTTTACTGAACCCCGTTATGATTAAATCTTCCTTCACTCATCCTCCATCTGAACACAGTAAAAATTGAGCAACTGAGCAGACAAACTTCATCAATGGATCCTTTCAAAAAAAGTCATTCAGGGCCATACCGTTTTTATATATATGTGTGACTACTGGTGAATTATTTTTGGACACTTGATCGTTTTTTCCTAATGTGGTGGTTATGCTTACCTGTGTTCCATTTTGGAACTTTTCTGACATTTTAAGACGATTTTAAGGTCATTGTCAGAAATAGTCTTACGTTGAGTTCCTGAGCAAACATCCGACCCCTCCCTCACTCCCTCTCCATCACAGGTATGATGAAAGGTTTTTGGCATTATCATTGTAATCTAGATTGTCAACGGATGTTGACCCTTTGAATTGCCTGTGGACTTCGAAACTGGATTTTATCTATCCCACATCATTTGAGACTGAATACTCTTTTATACTAATCTTTTATGAGTACTAGTATCTACAACTATTTTTGATGTTATGAGTATTGGCTATCAATTTTTTCAATTTTCTTCAACATGTATTGTAATGACTTCAGTATGAATGAAATGTCCCTTGGTGTTCTGGTCCTGGATTGTGATATTGGTTTTCGATTAGAGGGGGAGGGGGATGTTAGACATTGTTTCTTTTTACGTTAGATCATGGTTTTGGGATATATAGGGTCTACTTTTCTTATGACAGATTTACACTTACAGTTTGCTTTTACTGTTGGAGTTTTTAGTCACCCTTCCCTTTGGCATTTGCGCTTATATATCTATATTTGAGATTTTTGAAACAAGATTGATATGTTCTTGTATTAGATCTAACCCATGCTTGATGGATAATCTGCTGTTATTTCTCAAAGCTAATGAAACATTTGCATGCTCTGCACTAGTCTCATCTGATGTCCTCTCCCTTAACATGTAAGATTAGCTTAGTGTTAATTTAACATGGCATCACATGGTCACTTAAAAAGGATTTGTTTTTGTGAATTCCTGGCTTCACTTAAATCTTTGATTGCTGAAGTGAAAGCTATTTCCTTGGACATATTGAAACCCTTTTCAATTAATATATTGAAATTAAAGATCCATTACACTCCCTCCTGTAAATATCACTTGGGATTGCTTTCAATTATTTATTCTATTAATTTAGAATGTTCAGAGCTATAAGATCAAGGAACAATAATGAAACGAGACAAATTCAAACTAATAATGTCGACCATATCATTCTTATTAATGATGTTATTTTTTTGTAATTATTACCCTCATCAGGTTGCTTATGAGAGATGATGATATTTATATACCAGGGCTCAAAACTTCATAGTTTTCTGTGTTCTCCCTGACTGGAAAGTGTGTGACAATCACGCCACGTGAATTTTGACTGCGCCACACAGATTTATTTCGTGCTACGCATTAAAATGAAAAATGCCACGCATTAGACTTGTTTGACAGAAAATGTTGATCACCCCAAAGCAAAATAGAATGATTTCTTCCTGATGTACTGATTATCATTACCTGCCTCTGTAATGTAATAGACCTTTGTACTTTATTTGTAAATTAGATCTTTCATTTAGTAAATGAATTAATGAATGAAATTCTACTATCTAAACATACTACAGTCACCAAAGAACTAGCTTAAAGCCACATGTCTACCACATGTATATACCATATATGTTTACAGTACAGTGTAAATTAGATCTTTCATTAAATCACATGTCTACCACGTGTATATACCATATATGTTTACAGTACAGTGTAAATTAGATCTTTCATTAAGTCACATGTCTACCACGTGTATATACCATGTATGTTTACAGTACAGTGTAAATTAGATCTTTCATTAAATCACATGTCTACCACGTGTATATACCATATATGTTTACTGTACAGTGTAAATTACATCTTTCATTAAGTCACTTGTCTACCACGTGTATATACCATGTATGTTTACAGTACAGTGAGTGACTCTAGATCCAAGTACAGAACAAAATCACTCCTAATTTAACGGCATGAATAAAACCATTCATAAAATGATGCAAACTTGTCATTGAGGATTTAACATTATAGGACGGGTGATCAATAAGTAATGGATGCTTTTTTACATACGAGGGGTGATCAATAAGTAATGGACGCTTTTTACGTGGCATGATTTTTATAGACCAATACATTTGATTTTTTTACCAGTGATACATCATTCAATTATCTATCAACTCTGAAGATTTGAAAACAAAACATGTAATATATTTTGATATATCTTTATTTCTGTGAAGGAGGTATAGGTACCCCGGGACCGACATAACGTCACACATTCTGAAGCTATTTAGCTCATTTAACGTGCAATGGAGTTTAATGCAGGTTGAACAAAACGAACCACGATGGTTATGAATTGCTTAGGAATCAATCCAACAAGAATTTGGTAAAAATGATGTTCAAAAGTATAAAGTGCAGATCTTTTTGTTTGTAACAAGGATGGCCATTTTAAAACCTCCTCACCATATTTTGCACGTTTCTTAGGGTAAATTTGTACAATGGCAGTATATACATGCGACCATTGAATAAAAAGTTTTTTTACTGACAGGGAATTGATATTGAGAATATCACAAAGATGATATCAATATTTCCTGAGGGAATGCAGTGACCGAGGGATATATCGCTATCATCCAAGGGAATCAAAAATCATTTGTTGGAAGAGAAACATTATTAACATGATTAACATTACATGTATTTTACTGTTATAATATGAAAAATAATGACTAGAAGTGTCATTAAAACACAGGATTAGGTACTCCTTTTGTGAGTCACTGTCAGTGTTTTTCCCTTGGAGAGCACTATACTCAAAAATGGATGGATTTTCCCAAGAAAATGAACTTGGAATGGTATCAGAATTAGCAGTATGATATAGATATTAACCGGATAACATCCCATTCATTTCAATATCATTCTGATATCAGTCCTGATCCCAAATACATGGTTATCATACCTGGTATTGCTCCGATCATGGTATAATTTAACTAGAGAAAAGAAATAATGTCAAACACCCCCTTTCTCCCTCCTATCAAGAGCCAATATCACAATCACAGGACTAGAATACCATTTCATTTATACTGAAGTCATTACAATACGAGTTGAAGATCATTCAGTCTCAAATGATGTGGGATGGACGAATCTATCCCACATCATTTGAGACTGAAATAAATCAAAATTGGAAATGAAAAAACCATTTGGAATACCACAAATGAGAGAGTTAGATGAAAAGGGTATTTCAGAATACCACAAAATACATGGCACTATAGAACATTGACAGGACAGACATTTGCCCTGATAAAAGATTATCTGGAATACCACAATCTACCTGTACAGGATGTTGATAGGGCAGAGATTCACATTTTGATGAACTATTTAACCTATTGATTTATAAATAACACCTAGGCTTGTTGATGAATGTTGATTGATAAAATAATTTCATGTTGTGTTGCACAGTTAGATATCGTGATTTTTATTGTTTTTGTTCAACATTTGTTGTTTGTTACGATAATGTTTTTCATCATTCTTTAAAAGTAGATAATTTGAGGATCTGTTTCTTTGACGATGTTCATGTAAGTGACGAGACTAGTCTATATTGTGACGGAAGTGTCTCTAATGGAAATGTCTCCTATATATATATATATTAAATGTCAGTATTGTCAGTATTCAGAAGGGAGCTAAAGTAGTCCCCACTTATCTGCCTGTCTATCCAGTAAAACATGGAAAAGTTAGAAATTAGGATTAACATTATATTCCATAAATATAAACAATATAATATAAGCAAAAACAATGAAACACTTTTAATAGATCATGTTTCACCATAATAATAGAAATTCCATAAATTATTTACCCTAATGATGAAGTATATGTGACAGGCAACATCAGGAAACAAATAAAACATGTTTTACATGTAATATCAAATTTCAAAAGTACAAAACACCCCGAATAGAGGAAATATGTTGAAGTTTATCAATCCGGAGAACCACTGGTGAAAAAGAGCAAGTCTCAAAAGGTATAGGATTTGGATTGTACTGTTAGAAGTTACTACAGTATGAACCATGTATACCATTTACATGTATATATTAACTACATGAATGAAAATTCACAAAAAGCTAGGCCAGGTGTGTCGAATTTCAGCCAATCTCATGCAAATTTTGGTAAGCAACACTTTCAAGGAATGACCATTGCACATTGCACCAAGTCCAGGGCTTAAATCCTTAATTATAAGTTATATATGTATTGTAAAGTGAAACGTCAATTGAATAACGATATAAAAATATGATCGTATTTAGAAATTCTAAAAAAAGAAAAACAGAAAAGTAGAAAT